TGAGGGTACAGAGGCTCAAGCCCCTGGGAGTCCCTCATATCCCCAGACCCGGCTCTGGCACTCCTGGTCTACTCTGTGCCGTCATCCATGATGGATTCTGCCTCTCCCCCTGCCTGCCCTGCTGTGTTGGCATCAAGGCCTTCTTGAGTGTGTCGCCTTGTATTTCGGCTTTGGCTTGGGACCACCCATATTTCTTGAAACAGTCTGAGCTCTGCTCTCTGAAAATCCTGACAACCCCATCCCACTCCTCACACTGGTGTGTGGTCTCAGAAGCTCAGCCCAGGGCCCCAGAGACCAAACATCTGGACTCTGCTGGTGAGATGAGACTAAGTAGCCCAGGGACCCCCAGCCCAGAGATGGGCCGGAAGGACCTAGGCCTCAAGGTGATGGGGATGGACCTGGTATGAGATGACCCCAGGTGGAGGCAGATCATAAAGGCGAAGGAGCAGGGGAGTGGAGAGGCAAGGAGGTAGCAAAGAGCACAGGAAGAGAAACTGAGCCAGAAACCTCTTCCTGCAAGCCTGGGGTGAAGATAGCTGTGAATCAGGAATACCCGACCGGCTCCACGCAGCAACATGGTGCAGTTCTCTCAGTGTGTATGATGGATATCATCAACAGTCCTAAGAAAGCTTGTATCTCAGACTGGTTTAGTTTGAGATATGATACTGGCTTGAGAGACCACATGCTATTTTCAGTTGTCTTTTTTTTTTTTTCTGTCTTTCTTTCCAAATTGAGGCTGACCTGAGTAATCCAGGGTGGGGACTGGAGTGGCAGAGCACAGCCACAGCATAAGAAGCCCGCATTCTTGATGTAACCGACATCTGGTATCATCCGAAGAGTACGGAGGGCAGAGGGAAATCCATCACATGAATTCCAGCCCAATGGAAGAGCTGAATGCACATGTTACAACCGACTTGCCCCAGCACCTAGCTGGGGTGGGGCCCTCAGCTGCCTCCTGGGTGTACAGGCAACAATGACGCGCCCTCTACCCTCCAGAGGTTCCCACGCAGCAAGAAGGTCACAGCTGAAATAACTCTAATCCAAAGTTAGGGGCGACCAGTAAGATTCACAGAGCAAGGGCAGTGTGGAGAAGAGAGGCTGATTTCAAGTTGAGTCGTTGCTAAAATCCTCATCCGTGGGTTTTCTCTGCAGTTTGTCTATATCCTGCCATCAGAAGTAGAGACACATAAGATGAGGTCTTCCGTGTGCCAGGCAGCATTCATTCCTTTGAACTTAGGGAACAAGGGCCACTTGGGATCCTACGAGAGCTGCGTATATTGAATTTGTTCTTAATAAGCTCAGTGAGTGATGGAAGCTGAAAAACGAGGTTTCAAATAGCACCGAAGATAGGGAAAATAAAGCAGTTTAACAAGTCACGCTGGAACAGAAGAGATCCTAAGAGATTTTATATCTTTTAATTGTAAGAAGTAAAAATAAATTGTTTCTTTTTTTATCAATTAGATAAAAATATGGTAGAAACTACTTTAGGCAGAAATTTCCAAATAACATGTAAACTGACAATTCAATCAAGATTATGAAGATTATTTCTAAGGAAAAGTGATCTAACCATCTTTGTGCTTTTTATAAATAATCTGTTAAGTGTTTGTTTTAATGATATGTTTACATGTGGAATTTTGCTGTACCAGTTTCTCGTCAGACGTCAAGAAGGGCAGAAGATGGTTTTAAGTGCAGCAGGAGGGAGGGACTTTGTAGGTTGAACACTGGCTCATCGTCACTTACTTAGGACCATAATTACAATTAATTGTTATGGTGACCAACACACAAAGTTGTTGGGTTTTTTTATTTTTAACCAATGAAACATGTATAATACAGTAGATCTGTTTTGTGGGGGGAAAGGAGAAAGAGGAAACTCTCCTCCCCTCCAGAGTATAAAGCCAGGGGTACCCTTCTGATATGTTTCCTTATTCAGGAATAGTGGCTTAAACGTGAACCCAACCCCAAAGGTTTCTGGGACATCATTGATTAAAAGACACGTGCGCACCTCATTCTGTTTAAAAATATGTACTGAGCATCATCATACCGGTAGACGCTGTGGTAACTCCCTCCTTCCCTCTGTATCATAGGGGTGTGTGTATGTGTGTGTTTACTTGGGTATGTTGTGTGTGTTTACAAATGTTTGTGTGTATATGTGTGTGTGTCCCTCGTTTCTCCTTCTCTATGGGGATCCTAACTTACCAGTCTTTCTCATTTATCAATATTTTACACATTTTTTTAAAGATGTTATTGTTAAGTAACCTCGACACCCACCATGGGGCTCGGGAACGAACCCACAGCACCAAGACTGAGTCACCTACTCCACTGACTGGGCCAGTCGGGCGCCCTCAACATCCTGCACATTTTAATATAGCAGATGGGTGTAAGGTTTTATAGGCAAGATAAACACGACACCAGGCGAAGTGGGTGCAAGGCACAATTTATTAAAGGCACTCTCCAGCAAAGTTTCAGGGCTCAGGAGAAGGGGAGCCAGGAAAGTTGCGCCGGGAGGAGGTGGGCACCCTTGGGCGAGGTTCCTCGACTCCGGAAAGGGGAGTGGGGGAAGTCGCACTGGGAGGGAGTTGGCGGGGGTCTTTTATCCGTTTCCTGCAAAGGTATCAGGTTACCTATGGAGACGTGAAGGGGCATACATCCTTTTGGCAGAAGAGTCAAGGGTGAAGGAAAGGTGGGGAGGAGGCTGGAAGATGGCGGGGACCCAGCGGTCTCTATTTCTATTGCTCCTCCTGCACTCCCAGAGCCCACTGACCCAACAATGGGTAATAACTTTTTAATTTTGGAGGTGACTAGACTAGAATCAAACAGAATAAAGAAGACTGCTCAGATTAACATTCACAACTCGTAAAGTTGACAGAGTTGTGAGTTCCTGATTTTGCTCTCAGTTGCCCACCTGTTCATTGATTACCAGTGAACACAGGCTGATCACTTCTAAGTGTGTTTGTGAACCAGGTTGCAGTCGGTCCTGATCGTCAGGCTACTCAGGAGAGAGACTGAGCGCTCCTCAGCCAGGGAGGAGGGATTTTAGACTGGGGTGTCCAGAGCTACCCCTAAGGCACTTTCAAGACTGAATGCCATCATTCTGTTATTGGAAACACGACCCCCTCAAAGTACGGAGGCAAGATTTAAACACACAGGCGCACGTGGCCATCCAGCATTCTTCTGCCCAAAGAGGTCTGAATTTCTGACAAGCCTATTACTCTGACAGCCTCAGTGCTCGACCTGGCGAAAATCGTTTCAAGGAGGAATGGTCTAAAAACGCTCTCTCACAAAGGCCATCCTTCCAGCATAGAACAACAGCCTCACAGCTTCTTCCTGCGGAAAGTTCTTCCTCCCTCCCCGTCCTGTCAGAAATGAGGGTGGTCCCCCCCAGGGGGTGTCCGTAACACTTTACATAAAAATACCATCAATGTTTGCCCAGTTATATTATCTAAGGAACTGAGAAATTTTGTTTATATTTTAAGATCAGCAAATGCCAAAAATACTAATTTGAATTGAATAACCTTTCCCAGTCTTACATTCAAATGCAGAGAGATCCTATTTAAACACATCCTGCAGAACCTTCTAGATAATCGAAGAGAACATTTATGTTCCGTAGCATTTTAGCATTTAGCATTTTAGCCTTAGGCCTATTTTACTTTCATTCCTTAAAAAAAGTGGTGTGTCCATGTTGGGCATCAACCTGAAGGCGTCGCCGCCTTCCTCTCTCCCAGAGACTGGGTTCTGGTCCAGCCACTCCACTTACTGCCTTGGGGACCTCAGTGCCTCAGTGTTCTCATCCGTAAAACAGAATAAAGTGTAACTTTGAAGGACATTTTGAGAACGAGACGGGAAGACTAGTGTCAATTACGGTGTGGGCGTGAGACTCATGCTGGTCAGTGTCTCCCGCAGGCTCTGCCCAGGGCCTGATTCTTGAGTCCAGCCACGTGGCCGCACCCAGCAGTCAGCAAAGAGCGCCGCCCTCCCCAACTGAACCCTCTCCCTGGAGCCGGGGTCCGAGCCATAGTTCTCAACCTCAGCGTCACCAAACAGGAAGCTATCCAGCTCCGCCCAAGAGCCCAAAGTGGGGCCTGGCAGTCTCCTCCAGGTGATCCCGCTACCAGCCAGGCTGGAGAGCCATTGCCCTGCTGGGTCATTCTTGAGAGATCACGCTTCCCCATGGTCTCTAAATTCCTTCAACCCCTTTGCACCTTCTCTTAACTCACCTCCAGCATCCCTCCAACAGGCTGTGTTTCTGTGAGTGACTGCAGAAGTTCTCTACCTAAACCAAATCCTAACCCTGGGTGGGAGAGGGAAACCATGCTCTCAGATGGCGGGGTCACTAAAAGCACCCCGACCCTTGATGAGACTTGTCTCATGTCTTTTGTAGGGGTGGGAGATCTCTCTGCTTCCCCGCTGCATCTTCCCTGACCATCCCCTCCTTCTGTTGGCTTAAGCTCAACCTCCACTGGTACGGGAAGGATCGTGGGCCACTCCTGCCCATCAAAGGCGCCATGGGCATCCCAATGTTTAAATTTTCACAGAAAACCCTCCCTATGTTCTTAGAATAAAATCCTAGAAGTTTACTGCTGGCGGGACCGAGGTAGGTGTATCGAGGCAGGTGAAATCAGATCGCTAAAATATTCCAGTAAGTTGGGAGCTCTGACTCTGGAAAACATTCTTTCACATTTCTCAGCAAAGAAGGCTTTGATTCAAAGAGTTTCTGGTTTCCCTCTTCCACTGTCAGTGGAGTAAACCTCGAAGACTTTCTAAGAGTCTCCATCCTTCACGGTCACAGGACCGTCCTAGATCACACGTTCGGAAGTCTGTCTCCCCATGTCACTAGCTGTACAGCAGATGCCCGGGATTCAGCCGGTTCCGGGGTGCATTGGTGCCAGCCAGCCATCCTCGTTCACGCTGTGTTCTTGGTTAAACATTCTGGAGGCGGGAGTGGAAGAAGGTTCTCTGGGGTACCCCCGCGGAGGTCACTGACGCCGCTTTTTGCTTTGCAGGAATGTTAGCTCAGCCGGAGAGGAGGCCCGCAGGAGGATGCGGGAATGTGACGGGCTCACAGACGCGCTGCTCTACGTGATCCAGTCCGCGCTGGGGAGCAGCGAGATCGACAGCAAGGTTTGTTGTGTTTGCATAGATCGAACATCTTAGAGACTAAAGATACCCAAGGGACTAAGCAATGACTAACAACAGCGGAGAGCTAATGCTGTGCTTAATGCCTTCACTCTGGGATCTGTCTTGGTCTCCCCATAGGAATCCAGCGTCTTCTGGATGACTTCTAATCCTAGCCTAGAACTAGACACCTACATCTCGATTAATAATGAATAGAAACATGGATTGTTCTGAGTTCCTCCAACCAGATGAGTGTGTAAACATTTGCACACCACATGACCCACTGTGTAAAAGCTTCCAGTTTTAGTTTGTAAAGTCTGCTTTCAAAAGACAGAGGAATATTAAAACTACCTGAGCTTTGAATAATTCTGTATTCTTATGTTAGCTTTTTACAAATGTTAATTGTATCAAGTTCCATTTTAAAAATGCCTTAAGACTGAAGAACCTTGGTCACAATCTAAGTGAATGGGAATGTCCACATGTTCACTCAGAATCTAGTCAGTGTTTCAGGTCAGAAACCAGAATAGAACTGGGTGGGCTTTTCCACTGTGGGAGGTATTTTGTTTTGCCTTCATTTGCCTTTTGTTTGGTTTCAATTCGATCTAAAATTGTCAGGAATAACATCCCGATATAACCACAGACTTTACTGATGCTTTTTAAGTGACCCATGCGATACATACAAGACCTCAATGAGAATTTCTCCAGAGCCACATTTTGGCATTTTGGGCCAAGTTATTCCATGTTGTGGGGCCGTCCTGTGCCTTGTAAGAAGTTGAGCAACAACCTTGGTTCTTCCCACTGGATGCCAATCGCATCTCCCTTCCCGGCGATGTCAAACGAAAATGTTTCCAACCATTGCCCATTGTCCCCCAGGGGAACAGAACTCATCCTGGTATAAACCCCCAGCCATGTGCCTAGACCCCATCACAGCCCTCTGACTTGGAGGGTCCCCCTCTGCTCTCAGATTTGCGTTCCTTTAAAAGTTCATCAGGTGATTTGTCGTGTGTCCTCCACTGAGAGCCCACGTCAGCAGATTAGCTACAGCTTTGAAATGGACTCTGATCAGGAAGACGATGAAACGTAATTAAGTTACAAAGTCAGGTAAAGAACAGGTAAGAGTGGTTTTATCCTGTAAGTTACCAACGGGCATGGGGAAAGACTTCCCAGTTCTCCACCTTGCCTGCACGGTGGAATGGCTGAGAAAGTGAGACAATTGCTGATAGCCGAGCCCTCCTCTCTATAATCGTGGGTGCACACACCTTCTGGAACTCCAGCCCTCTGAGTACTAGTCTGCTGCAGTTATGAACGCGGTTTGTCACCCGGTCACCACCGTCGAGTTACACGTTACACGGGCATCCGTGAACTTACTCTGCAAGTGTTACCAGTTTCAAAGACGGAATATTAAGCGCTAAAATTTAATCAACCCCTCTTGTAAACACCCTTTATAGCCATTTTAGAACTTTTAATATCATTGATAAGAAAATTAAGTCCCTAAAAAAAAATGACCAGTCAAGATGTCTTGAGTATTTACAGATACTTGTTAACGTAATAGACCAAAGATCTTTAAATGAGCTGTGGGAGGTTATTTAGGAAGGCTGCCATGCCCAGGATCTCCGCATTCAGAGCAGTAAAGACTACAGTATTGGGACCCGGAGCCTCCTAATGGGATGGATACAAAGAGAGCTTTAAGACTGGACCTTGGGGTTGAAAATAAAATCAGACTCCACAGCCTCTTGCATTGGCCAGGTACCCAAGCCAACACTGGTGGGAAGGTAGCCTTCGGAAGCTTGGTCCCAAAACAAAGTGCTGTGAGCCCCCACGCCTCTTTTCGGATGTGGTAGATGGCTAGATCCCTGGAGCCCCTGGGAGATCCCCTCGTTTAATGTCCACCTTATATTCAAAGGAGGAACCTGGAATCGCTTGGAGTGTTGAGGGCGAGGGAGAAGACACGATGATTTCTGATGAAGCTGCAAGAGCCCCAGGCTTGTGTGGGTGTGTGTCACCTCCAGCTCCTGCTCACTGGGGACTGTCCCCAGGTATCCCCAACTTCAGGATGAAGAGGATCGTCACCGCTTCTGAATGGATCAGAAGTCACAAGTGACTTAGTAGTGACTTTCTGGCCAGAACGTTCCATGAAGGTCTAACGTATTATGGTCCCCCAGTGTCCCACCTGGCCCTCTGCCTGGTCCCGTATTAGCTTTTACAAGGACAAGGTAGAGGAGGAAGGAGCGCACATTCTCTTAAAGGCCAGCATTAAAGGGTCTGGAACCCGTGCAAACTCAGCTCAGTGCCTGTAATTGGGACTGTTTGCTGAATGGGTTCCCCTACGGTAGTGCAATCCACAGACAACTTCCAAATTAGCCCTTTGTGATAGAAAATAAGGAGTCAAAATGATGCTTGTGTCCCAGAGGAGCGGCTAAAAGCACTGGTGACAGCAATGGATGTCCAAAGCAGAGCCACCAGGGGCCGTGTGCCTTCTTCTGGTGTCCCAGAGAAGGGCGGTAGCCGCCTTGCTTTTCTGTGCTCTTTCCCCACTCACATAGAGAGAAGAGCTTGAGTGGGTGACCCTTCCACAGCAAGCCTGGCTGGAGAGAGCAGGTCAGGCCCGGTGACTCCCTCGCCCTGTCCCGTCCTCTCCTCTGCACCCCCTTCCTCCGCCAACCCCACTTCCTCTCCCCCTCCAGCTTCTCCCACATCATCCCCCAGCCACAGGTAGATTATAAAGCATTTCTGGAAATGGCTGTGGATGTGTTCCCCGGTAGTCATTTGTTAAACAGAGGCACGGAGATGCCCCCAGGGAAGACGGACAGCAGGATGAGAAAGAAGTTGATTCTCCCAAGTCTTTGATGTAAGAAAAATCAGTTTGAGCTGATTTAAAAATCGTTCTGACTTATGCCATAACATTTTCCTTTCAGGGAGAGACTTTTCTCTCTTTCATGCATCGTCCTGTGTTTACCTGCTTTCATGCCGGTTCCTTTTTTGATGCTGAGAGGATGCTTGACATAGAAAATCAAGTTGACTCAAAGCCTGTGGGATTAGCTGCCTGGAAACCTTGAAAAGCTGACAAGACAGATCTGGAATGGCAAAGGCTCCAGAGACAGATCCTGGAAACCAGTTTTCTTGGTTGATTGTCATGCCCCCAGTAGCCAAGTCAAACACACAGGCTCAACCTTTGCCCAGATTCCTGTCCTGGGAGGAGAGCAGTGCGGCCTCTGCCCCTCGCAGGCTGGACCCAGGACCAGAGAGACCCAGGGTGTCTCGTCCCCTTGACCTGTGAAACAGAACCACGATCTCTGGCTCACTTGCTGGTGCACACAGCAGAAGCCTGAGAAGCCGTAACCAAACTGGCAAGCTTTTAAAAATAAAACTTAGCTCCGTTCAATTTCTTTCCCCGTTGGGATTTTGGTTTTGTTTTTTTTAATTGGGTGTATTTTTACTCTTCCCACCGTTCATCAATTATGGGACAAAGGTCAAAAGGTTGATCCGAAGTTCATGTGTGAAGCCTCGCCTCCCATGTGATGGTATTTCAGAGGAAGGGTCTTTGGAAGGACCTGGAGGTACAGAGAGATTAAGCACTTGGCCCCAAGGTCACATAGCTCCTGAAACGGCAGAGCCAGGCCTCAAACCTAGAGTTGTGGGCCCTGGTCCTATGTTCTAGATTTGCCAGCAGGGCCGTCTAGACCACTGTTTGTGGTCTGAGTGCTCGTATGGTGTTTACTGTGGGCCAGGAGTACCTCTCAGTATGTCCACACTGGGTTTGTTTCCTGTTGCTGCTCTAGCAAGTTGCCACAAACATGCGGCTTAAAACAACCCAAATTGATTATCTTACTGTTTTATGGCTCAGGAGTCCCCAGTGGGTCTTGCTGGGCTAAAACCAATATGTCGCCAGGGCTGCGTTCCTTCTGGAAGCTCAGGGGAGAATCCGTTTTCTCGTCTTCTCCAGCTTCTAGAGGCGCCCACAATTCCTTGGCTGTGGCTGTGGTCCCTTCCGCCATCTTTAAATCCTGCAAGGAGAGGTCACACCTTCTCCCACCACTTCACCGCACTTCCTCTGCCACCCTCTCTCATGTATAGGACCCTCAGGGGCCCACCAGGATAATCCAGGACAGTCTCCCCAACAGAAGGTCAGCGGATGAACAGCCACCATTCTGTCTGCAGCCTCCATTCCTCCTGGCCATACAACCCAGGCTTTTCACATCTCACAGACATGGATGTGGACCCTGGGGGCAGGGGGCACTGCTCATTCATACTCGGCTCCCCTGATCCACACAGCAAGCCAAGACATGGGTGCTATTATGACCATCTTACAGAGGAAGTTACTGAGTCTGAGTCACACTGTGACTGTGTCCAAGTCACACAGCCAACAGATGGAGATCAAGGGCCATACAGGTGTCCAGCCCCGCAATGTGTGTCCTCAAGCACTGGTTAAGCCCCATAGTAAGAAAACAGGAGCACCAGCCATCTCCAAATAAACCAGGAGCATGGAAACGTTCATGCCCCCAGTGATCCTGGCACTCGGTTTGCCTGGGACCCCCCAGCTTTATATCCATATCTCCTTTTACTCCCAGAAAGCACCCTAGTGGGTGGGAAATACTAGGGTCTCCCTCCCCGAGCTGATGGGCATGTGCGTATGCCCGCTCTGGATGATTCTGAGCCCCAGTCCCCAGGGGGGGAGCGGGGCATGCGTGCACCATATCTGGGACCTCTCCCATGTTGTGGATTCTTAACCGCTCACCGGTGAACTTCAGTCAGCAATGACAGCTATTTATAAAAGTAACTAGCATGGATAAGGAAAGCTTTTCAGGACCTTCTCAGGCTTCTCTCAATTCTTTCCACCGTCGCTATCAAGGGAGCCTGCAGGAGTCAGGAGCTTAATGTCTCCAGGAAGAATCAGGGATGTGGAAATGACTGCTTTCCTGGGTAGAGGAGTGCTGGTTAGTTTTTATTCATTCCTCCTTTGTTTCTTTTCCTTTTTTTTTTTTCCTTTTTCTTTTTTTGGGTTCTCCAGACCGTTGAAAACTGTGTGTGCATTTTAAGGAACCTGTCGTACCGGCTGGCAGCAGAAACGTCTCAGGGACAGCACATGGGCACGGATGAGCTGGACGGGCTGCTCTGTGGGGAGGCCAATGGCAAAGACACGGAGAGTTCTGGGTGCTGGGGCAAGAAGAAGAAGAAAAAGAAATCCCAAGATCAGGTAAGGCCGGCGGCTCGCCGCGGTGTGCAGTGATCCCTTCCCTAATGACAGCGTTACCGTTTCTTCCACTCGGACAGGTACGGGGCTCTGTACTTCCCACGCGAGGTAAAATCACATGCGCATCTGCACAGTTTTCCCGTGGGGCTCTCATGGTTCAGATGGGGGAGCATCACGCGCCTTCCCCCTGTCCCGCAGACCAGCCCAGACAGGAACTTCGAAAAAGTCTCACGAGTCCCAGGCAGGCTCTAAGGTCCCAGCTTGTAGCATCCATCCTGGGCACGGGTTCCTCCGGGTGCTGGGCCGCACACTGATGGAGACCCTTGCCAGGACAGGCGGGGTGCCCGGCAGGTGGTACAGATGCGCACAATCGGTGCGGCGTCGGAAGGGAAGCTGAGCAGAAATGCACAAAAACCCAACACATCGTTCACTGCATTGTTTTGAACCATTTCGGTGTGTAAACTTGCACTTATTGTTACAAGTGGGGGAGCTCAGAATCACAATTCTCCAACAGAAAGACATTAGGAGCTAGGCCTTGGGGCGCAATTCTGATAAATTCACAAAACTCTCCAGCTGGAGAGATCTCTTCAGAGCGGTTGGACTTCATCTCGAGCTGCCTGCAGTGAAGTAAAGGCCAGTAGGCAGCCACTCTTAGCCTTAGCAGAATCATGACAGTCTCTAGCCCTTTCCTCGGGAGCCTCTGGAAGGCAGAAGCTTTCACCCAGTGGCCCCCAGGTAAAGGAATAGTATGAGTAGTAGCTGCTGGCCCCGAGCTCCAGCTACGGAGGTTGTCCTGTCTTACTGGCCTGGACAGTGTGGTCACCGGTCCAACCTTCCTGGACAGTATGACCAGGTGTCCAACCTTCCCCTGGACACCGTGTTCATATCCCAGCCACTAAGGGTCCTACCGACCCAAGATACGACTGTCCTCAGGAAACAACAAATAAGAAAGCAGGACAGAACTCACAACACTCTCTCCTGGTAGGTTTTAATTCAACATAAATATGCAGAAGTATCTGTTCAGATCACAGCACGTAATTTTTCAAAGTATGTTCAAAATCATTTTGCTCTGAGGAAGGATTAGAGAAGCGATGTTGTTTGGAGTAAGGATTCGTGGGAATCCATTCTTAAATATAACTTGAATGCATCCGTGTTTGCATTTTTTTAGGCTCTAGTCCTCTTGCTGTTTGTGGCCCCTGAGGGCTCCTCCAGGAACATCTACAACTTTTAGATCTGTATGTTCCAGCATAAACACATCTATAATTTAAAACATACATGCTGTTTGCCTTTCTGATAGTAACCATCCAGTCTGAGAAGCTCCAGCCCTGCTTTCTCTCCCGTCATGGATCAGTGCTGTGTGTCCACTGTCTCCCTGAGTCTTCTAAAAGGATTGAGCCATAGTTCCTAATTCAGCCACTTAAAAACCTCCCATCAGGTGAATGCAATGGTTAACAAGCAGGTATTTATTGAATGTCTACTATGTGCCAGGCATTGTACCAAATAACGTCAGATACCTCAGTCTTCCTTCCCGGCACTACCCAGACGGTGATGACTTCTGAACTTTTTCAATATCAGAGAAGTGAGGGGCGCCTGGGTGGCTCAGTGGGTTAAAGCCTCTGCCTTCGGCTCAGGTCATGATCCCAGGGTCCTGGGATCGAGCCCCACATCGGGCTCTCTGCTCAGCGGGAAGCCTGCTTCCCCCTCTCTCTCTGCCTGCCTCTCTGCCTACTTTTGATCTCTCTCTGTCAAATAAATAAATAAAATCTTAAAAAAAATATCAGAGAAGTGATACATGGCCTAACAAAGGTATAATGGGTCCTTCTCACAGTTTCCTGCTGCACTACTGTATCCCAGAGGGCTCTGACCCTTCACTGCTTCATCCCAGAAAGTGAATGAGCAGAATAAACACTGAAAACAGCATATGGGCAGGGATGTGGTTCTTCCCCCTCTGTCCAGTGATCATAAGCCCCCAGGGTCTCATCCACCTCCTACAGACTCAAAATCTCCGGGATGGGCCCAGATAACCTTGGAAGGCAGATTTGGGAAATTGTACTAACATGTTAACCCTGGTTTTAAAAAAACAAAAGCAAAACTTTAAACTGAGCTTGATTTCACGGTTTTCTCTCCAGTCTGTTGTTTGAATTTTAAGGACCATCCTTCCAAGGACCCCCACACCAGTTATTGGTGTCATATCAGTAAAATTCGGCCCCACACACCCAGCCCTTTCTCCAACCCTGGCAAGGTGTGCTCACACAGCCTGAAGCCCTTCAAGTGACAGGTGGGATTAGGTATCGATTGGGTCCAGAGAAGTAAGGAGTCAGAAGAGAATATTCATGGACATCCCCCCAAAAGACAGCCCTCCATCCAAGCTGGTTAGCTGCTTCCATAGAATCTTACAATGAACAACTTCCCGCCTTAGAATGTTGTATTTTGAACCATATTTTATGGCATTGATGAGTTATTTTCTAAGTCGAGTAAGATGAAGAGATTAATGCAGTTTTTTTATTTTTGCCAAAAGTCTAAGTGAAGATTTATAAGGGTCATTTATCCCATCTTTTTCTCATGATATTCTTTTAAGGAAACAAAAAAGGATTTCTTAGAAAGTTCTGCCAAAACAACCACGTTAAAATGCAATAGAATATTGTTGTTTATAAAGAAACTTCAAAGTTATGGTTTCAGTCAAGTGATAGTTTTGTAAAAGACTAAACTGTGCTCTAATATAATGCAAACATATCTTTCTGAAAAATATTAATGTAAACAGATAGGAGCTATGTCTGTTTGCAAGTCATTTTGTGTGTCTCTCAAGTTCAGTATATTTAAAAAGAGTCAAGAGTAAAAAGCATCTTGCATTTAAAACCGATAGAAGAGGCAGCACTGACTGGTCTGGAGATGGGGAGGAGAGCATTGGACATGGAGGACTGAGATAGGGTGACATGGGCACACCGCTTGGCCTCCCCCCACTGGTGCCCTGGAGAGAACTGAATCTAGATGGCGCCACCTGCTGGGAAGGATGGGCACTTGCTCCAGCCTGGGGTTTCAGCGGGGAGAATGTGCTTTGCACTTCGGGAACGCAGGCCGCCATTCCAAATAGTCTAAAGGAATTAAAGGCCAGCTCTCTCAAGTGAGAGGAGGAACCAAGGCCCTAATTCATCACTGTTAACAGGTTGCAGCAAGGTGAGAAATGGAAATGTCCCCAGGCCTGTCTAGGACGAAAAGCATCCCCATCTTTGCCTTCAGAGCTTGCAGACCATGTAACTCACCTAGAAGCTTCCAGAAAGTTCTAAGTTTACAGCTTTCAAGATGGTCAGATATCCATTCTCTGGAGTCTCTGTTGCTCATAAAGTCAGGTTTTCAAAGAATATCTAGTGATTGGAGAGAATTATATATTACAAAGTGAAATGAAGAAAAATAACAGAAAAGCAAGAATATATATATAGAGAGCGATAGATAGGATGTTGGTAAAACCTGGCCGATTTTGCCAAATGTGTGTCACATGCAAATATAAAATATGTATATTTTTATATATTTGTATCTGCATATATATGTATGTGTTTCTAGAGAAAGCACAGTAACATCAAAGAGCGAGGATAGTGATTCTCTTTGTATTTGGGTATTTACGAATTTTCTAATAGGCATTACATTTGTAATCTTTTCAAATACTATTTAGAAAGTAATATTCTAGAAAACAGGAACTGATTAAGTCAATGTTTCCTTATTCATTCTCTTCTCTTAAATTTAAGATGCCCAGAGAGAAGTATCCAAGAATGGAGCTCTGTAAGATGAGAGGTTGTCAAATCCACAACACATACTTCCTAGGACAGAGGAGCCAGAGGTTTTACCAGGAAGTCCAAGTGATAAAAAGCATAATTAGCTTAATGATTGCCTCTGGAGCTTGCAGTATCCCAGAAATTTATGTTGATTCTTACCTTTGGCATTGTTAATTCTATACCTGAGGAAAATGCTGTGAGACTATAAAGGTCAGATTTAGTTACAATAAAAAATCTCAGAGACTTTATCCTTTAGATTCTTAATTAGAATAATTCAAGAAAATACATGATACAAAGATAGGCTTCCTTTATGCTCTTAATTCAAGAAATGGTTGCTATTAGGGCACCTGGGTAGCTCAGGTGGTTAAGCATCCAACTCTTGATTTCAGCTCAGGTCATGATCTCAGGGTTGTGAGATCGAGCCCAACATGGGGTTCTATGCTCAGTGAGGAGTCTGCTTGTCCCTCTCCCTCCCTCCTCATGTGGGCTCTCTCTCTCTCAAATAAATATATAAAATATTTTTTTTAAAGAAAGAAATGGTTGCTATCAAATCATCCTAGGACCATCTGACTGTGAGCCCCCAAGTGTAGAAGTATTTAACATTTCTGGGCATCGTATTCTGATCCAAAATGGCTTTGCAAATTTATTAATTTCTGACTGTGTTCAGTGCCTGTTGCCAAATTATAGGAAATTGCTGGTCTCTCTGGCCCTTTTCAAGCTGACCGCACCCCCACCCCACCAAACCATCTACACTTCACATGCCAAGAGGCACATCTCACCTGTAGGGTCTCCACTGCCTTCTAGCAGGGCTCCGTGCCAGGCACTGGGCACAGCAGGGATGGGGACAGCATTACGAAGATTGGAGTCCAGGGAAATGCAAGTAGACAAAATTGCTACATTTACTTTTCCACCTTTTGTAGAAATAAGCATCTTTTGTTTCTCAATTTGGCATATGGCCAAGGTTCCTGGGATGATATCCTGGGATTGGTGGTACTCAAAGTGGATTCAGGGTCAAGAACACTGCTGGCTGCTGGCCAGAGCAGACCCGAGCCTTCAAGACCCGCTCAGTGTGAACTTGACAGTGCAGAGGAACTGCTGAGAAAAAAGAAAAAACAAAGCAAGACAAGTAAGATGTCCTAGAACCTAGAACTTCTCTTTTCTGCTCGAGTATCGCTTCTGAATATTTTAGTTCATGTGGATATATGTGTATCCACGTGGGTGAGGACATAAACCTGT